GGGTGCGGGTCTGCTGGGTGCGCACAGGGGGAGGCCGGGGGCTGAGCCCAGCCATCACCCCATGTGCTGTCCCCAGACAAGGGGACCACTGACGAGGCCGCGTTACGTTTGGCACTGAGGGGAACATCTCCCCACAAACGCGTTAGTGACAGCCCTCTGCAGTCCCCAGATTAAACCCTCCAGCCCCATGGTGCCCATAAAGGGCGTTTCCAGCCTGCTCTGGAATGCAGTGACTCCGTTTGGGACAGGGCACAGAGACAGGGACCCTGCAGGTCCCTGCGAGCAGCAGTGCCTGGAGGAGGACGGACGCGAACGGACACCTCCAGGGCTTCTCTTCCCACATGATTGGCATCACCCAGACACCTCCGTGGCTTCCCCTGGTCCCATCCTGGAGCTCGGGGTGTGGGGACGTGACAGGAGCCAGTGCAGGGCAGTGGTGAGCTGGGTGCTCCTGCCAGAGCCACTGGGACTATGGGGGCTGGCGACCCTGTGGGTTGCCCAAGACCGTGCCGAGAGCCCATGCCAAGGGGACAGGGGGTGAGGCTGATGGCATGGGCATGGCCCAGTGCTGACCCAGGCCTCCAGCACGCCCCGTCCATCCTGTGTGGCTGTGGGGGCCAAGCAGCAAGCTGGGAACCCGTGCAGCAGAGTGGGGTGCCCACGGGGTGACAGGCTCCATCCTGTGAGCTGCTCTCGGGAGGCTGGCGAGGGGGACGTGTCCAGGGCCCATCGGGGAGCAGGACAGGGGACAGGCAGGCGCCAAGGAGCCGAAGGAGTCCTGTCCTGGCTTCCCTGTCGGTTGCCCTCACATTGCTGGCGCTGATGCCTGATGGACAAGAGGCCCTGTGCTGGCAGCGCAGGCCCAGGGGTGCGGAATAGAATAGAATCACGGAATCGTTTAGGTTGGAGACCTTCAGGATCACCCAGCGCAACTGTTCCCCTACCCCTGCCATCCCACCCCCAAACCCTGGCCCTCAGCACCGCCTCTGCCCCGCTGTTAAATCCCCCCAGGGCTGGGGACTCGACCCCTTCCCTGGGCAGCCCCTTCCAGCCCCTGACAGCCCCAAGGGGAAGGAATTGTTCCCCATGCCCAACCTCACCCTGCCCTGGCACAACTTGAGGCCGGTGCCCCTCGTCCCATCACCCCTTCCCTGGGAGCAGAGCCCGACCCCCCCGGCTCCCCCCTCCTCTCAGGCAGTTGTAGGCAGCGATGAGGGCTCCCCTCAGCCTCCTCTGCTCCAGGCTGAACCCCCCCAGCTCCCCCAGCCGCTCCCCAGCAGCCTGGGGCTCCAGACCCCTCCCCAGCTCCGTTGCCCTTCTCTGGATGTGTTCCCAGCAACCAACTTCTTTTCTGTGGGGAGGGAGCCTCTGGCTCAGCAGCACCTCCCAGCCTGGAGCAGGGTAAGGCCTACAGGGGAACCCCGGCTCTGCAGGCCGGTGTTGCTGTCAGGGTGAACAGCAACGGAGTCTGAGGGGGAAACTGAGGCACGCTGAGGTTTACTTTGAGGAGCTCAGGCTGTGTCCAGGGAAAGGTTGCCCGTCTGCGCTGGGGCAGCCAGTGGATGCCAGCACTGGTGGCCGACAGCTAATGAAGTCAGAGCTGTGCCCAGCGGGGAGCCCAGCACCTGCCCTCTGCTCCAAGGTCTGGATGCCTTCACCTCAACATCACCATCCCTTCCCCCAGTCTGCTCGTGCTCCTCCTGAGGTTCCCAAGGTCCCAGGGCCACGAGCTGTGTGTGCACAGGGTTCTGCACCCTGGGGGAACTGGCTTGGCATCTGCTGGGGTGGGTGAGTCCCAGGGTGCCTCATGCTGGTACCATCATGGGGGTCAGCAGGATATGGCCTGTCGTCCTGCAAGGGTGCGAGGAGCTGGCAGTTCTCTTCCTCTGTCCCTGGAGGCCATGTTTGCAAGGACACCTGGGTCGGGGGGACTTCTGTCCCCTCTGCTGCCATTTTTTCTGATGCTGGCCCCTTCCCCACCAAAGCTCCAGGAAGAGAGGGGCAGTAACTGGGTGGTGGTGGTGGTGGTGGTGGTGGTGGCCCTTTCTTCCTACTCCCACCCTTGCACCAGCTGTGTCACAAACCAGATCTGTCCCCCGTTTCAGCTAGAAATCAACTCAAGAAAGCCCCCCCAGATGCTAGTTTGGGGCAAATCAGCCCCTGTGCAGCCCCAAGCCCCAGGAGAGGGTGTGGAGGCACTGCCCCATCACCACAGTGTGTCCCCACCGCAGTGTGTCCCCACCACAGTGTCACCTTACACGTTTGGATTCCCTGGTGAGCGCCCACCTGCCTTGGGAAGCGGCTCACGCAGTCCCGCTCCTCGCTAAGGGGACCAGGACACCGTCACCATTCACCTCGTAACTAATGAGCACGCGTCCCCGACATCCCCCTGGCAGAGCCGACGCCAAGGGCCTCGCTGGCAGCCCCCCTGTGCCCCTTCCCCGGGAGCGGGTGGATGTGTTTGTGAGCGGGTGCGTGCGTGCGTCCTGCCCTGGGGCAGCGGAGCTGGAGCCAGGGATGTGGTGGCTGCCCCTGCAGCACCCCTGCCGATTGCCTGCACCCCCCGGGGGAAGCTGCGCTGCCACCTCCCCTGCACAGGATGGGCTCTCTGGTGCTCAGGCTGCAGCTGGAGCTCAGCGACAGCCATTTCCCTTTTATTAAGTTAACAAATAAATGCCCTGCTGGAGAGCAGGCGAGCTCTATTGATTCAGCACCCCCCCGGGACCCATCAGTCTGCTGCATTTTAATATATATTAGGCAAGGAAGCGCCCTGCATTGCCCAGTTTGGCTGGGCTGGGGGCCCTCTGGAGCAAAGGATCGGCCTGGAGAGATGGGGCTGCCCCAGGGCTCGGCACCCAGACCCCACGGGGGCACTGAGGTCTGTAAAGCGAAACCCCCAGGGAGGAAAAGCCACAGCTGAGACTTGACACCAGGAAAAAAATGCTCCCCGCGCGCGCCTGGCTGCGCCATCCCTGGCCTGTCCCCCGCAGAGCAGCGGTGCTGTCTGTGGGCTGGATGAGACCCTCCTGCGGGCTGGTCTGAGCGGCGGGTGCTGAGCTCGAGCGCGGTGTTTGGAGATACCTGAAGTGGCAGAAATGGCACCGCTCTCCTCTTGGTTGGACCCAGGGCTGCTGCACTGACCTGGGCATGCTCTCACGCCTCTGCCCCATCCCCAGTTTCTTACCCAGCTGGGAGAGGGAGCCAGGAAGGCCCCGGCCTCGCGCGCAGCCTCTGCCTGCCTGCTGCCCCAGCCCGAGGCACGTCTGCCCGAGCCACTTGTCCCCCTCCCCACAGGACAAGTCGGGCTGCAAGCAGGAGGAACGGGCGCCAGCAGAGACATAAGGACGCTGGGCCCAGCTGCTGGGATACCAGGAGACCCCCAGAGCCTGGCACCCTCAAAATGGCCGGTTGAAGCATGAGCACTTGGGAGCAGGGACAGACCTCCTCCAGCATGGGGACATGAATCACGGCCAGGCAGCGAGCTCTGGTGGGCACTGACTGTGCAGGCAGGGTGGCAGAGGAAGGAGGGGACAGGGGGATCCACAGGCACACAGCAGCACTTTAATGACCTGCCCAGCTCTCGTAGGACCCCGCTGGCACAACATTGTCCTGTCCTGCACCAGCATCCTGGAGACCCGGCCCAAAAATCCTCCTGCAAGTGGGCAGAGCCCACCAGGACCCCAGGCGGAGAGGGGGAGCCGTGTGGCATTGCTCCTGTAACGCCCTGCAAGCTTCTGCCGGGACTGTGCCCGCTGGGCAGCATCAGCAGGCGGCTCACAGGCGAGTGGCAGCGATGGTCTTTTGGGAGGGGGCTGCGCTGAGCCCTGGGGAGCTGGCTGGTGATGCAGCCGAGGTGTCCTGGGGGGCAGAGCCAGTTTTTGTGCCCTGCAGTGTTTCTCTTCCCTTTAGCAGCTTCACAGCTGCTTTCTCCACTTCATCCATCTCCAGCTGGCTGCTGGCCGCCATCTCGTCCCTGGTCACCGTTACGAAGGATGGGTTACGGGCCAGAGCCGCAAGGCCCCCGGAGATCAGAGCCTGTAGCAGAGGATGGGGTCGAGCCCGGTGTGTGCTCAGTCCGTAGCAGGGTCCCTGCCTGCAGGCAGCCCACCCTCGCCTCCTCCCTCCTGCCCTCTGTGCTGGCTGCTCACCTTCGTAGCTGAGCTTTGCCCGCCAGCCTCTCAGCTTGGCATCAGCATGGTGCCCCTGCCAGCCCCTTGCACCCCTGGCAGCCCTGCCTGTCCCCCTGCCAGGCTGTGCCCCTGCCTTACCTCCTGAATGAGAAAGGTGATGGCTGGGGTGGGGGATGTGCTTGGGCCACCGCTTTCACCCCCCTGGTACCCCGAGCTGGACGCCGTTCCCGTCACCGTGCCGTCCTCCCCAGGCAGCTGGGCAAAAGGAGCAAAGAGCTGCAGCCTGGGCTTGGGCCATGCCCATGGAAGATCTCCCCCATGTTAACGCGGGAGCTGCAGGCAGTCTCCAGCCTGGACACGCACTCTCATCCTGCTGGAGCTCCTGGGTCCAAGGCACCACCCGCAATGGGACCAGCAGGGCCATGTGGGCAGCGAGGGCTGGGAACCAGCCCTTGTCTCCTGCCCTGGCACTTGCCAGGTGATGAGGCACAGTGGCCAGGCAAGGGCAGCCAGGGGAGTGTGGACGAAAACCTGACGCACCCCTTGTTTCTGCCTCGGCTCTGGAGGCAGCCAGGGAACCAGAGAGATGCTGCTTCGAGCTGTCCCAGCTTGGATGAGCACCCTGTGCCCACTGCAGCAGTGGGGTGGGCACCTGGCTCCTTCCCCAAGCTGATCAGAAAGGAAAGTGCCAGCAAAGCTGGGTTCATGGCAGAGAGCCCTGGAGAGCGGCTCCTCCACAGCATGGCTATGACAGCCCTTCCCAGGAGGGGAGGGGGGCTCACCCATGCCCCCCAGATTGCTGCCTCTGGACATACATTGTCCCGTGTACCTCCTGGGGCAATAGGTGCAGCCCTGATGACGGGTGACCCCCAGCGGTGGCCCCTCGCCTCCTGCTCGGCCTCGGTTGCAGTCTCTCCATGGGTAAGGGGTGGGTGCGCTCTGGGAAAAGGGGAAAGGGGGGGAACAAGAGTAAGGACACCACTGCCACCCAGAGGAGATCAGCTGGGAATGGGTTAGCTAGACTGGGGGAATCAAAGGGTTTATGGGTTCAGGACCAACCAAAGTCCCAGCGCCTGCCCACTGTGCTGTGCTGGCTCCTCACAGTTGGGAAGAAGTCCCTGTTCATGGGCACTGGCTCCATGCTCCATCACCCTGGAGCATGGGAAGATGGGAAGGGTCTCCTGGAGCTCCCCAGATAGGTCTCGCTGTGGTCAGGGCTCTCAGCTAATCTCCAAGTTGCTGGGGTCTGTGCCTCCTCCTTCTGCCTGCCAACATCAGCCCCTTCCCCCCACTCTGGCTCTTGGGCTGGTCCAGATCCCCCAGAAGAGGAACGATGTGGAGACTCACCCCGCGCTGGACGCCTGGGTGCTGCTGGCACCATCTTCCTCAGCACCTCGTCCTCGTACTCCATCCTGGCAAGGGCAGGCAGGTGGGTCAGCCTGGGCAGGGACCACGTGCCTAGACCAGCTCGACCCAAGGATGCAGCCCCCCCACCTTCTCCACCCTGGGGAATGCAGCTGGGGGGGCAGACCGGGAGGGGCACCTGGGATGGATGACCAGGGTGGAGACCCCAGGAAGTAGGATCATGTACATCCCCTTACATTGGCAACCCTTGTCCCTTGTACCTATGCCCAGGCAGGAGCTGGTGGCCCCTACATGGGCCTGGGCACTCAGGGATTGGCGGCGAAGGGGGAACGGTCGTTCCTGCCACCCCCAGAGCCCTGCTGGCCACCTCGATCCTCACGGCACAGAAATGAAGGTGTGATGGGAAGGACAAGAAGGGCGCGTAGGGTCACACACGCTGAAGTGTGGAGCCACACACCAGCCCTGGAGCTGCCCCGCATGGTGTGAGGACAGCCCTGTGAGGGCCAGGCTGAGGCCTGGAGCCCAGCAAGGGGGCTCTGCCCTCCCTGTCTCCTTGCCTAGGCCCTGCTTGCACCCCAGGGGCTGAATTTCTGCATAAAGCTCCTGTGTCCGTGGAATCACCTCCATGGCCAGCGCTCAATTCCTCCCCCGGTCTGCAGGTCCTCACTGCTGCAACTCAGCCACTTCTCCAGACCTTACCCGTGCGTGAGGAGCCCCTGGGCAAGACCGACGTGCAGCCAGGAGCCAGCACAGCCCCGCTGGGAGCCGCTGGGCATGGCCCAGCTCTGCCCTCCATGCCTGCCCACGCAGGCTCACCAGCCCTTACCCCTCCTGCCAGTTGTTGCTGTTGGCGTTGTTGACGTTGGTGTTGCCTTCCTGGGGGAAGTCGTCAAGGAAGACAGGGGAGTCGAGGTCCTCGCTGCCCACCTCGGTGAACTGCAGGGGCCTCTGGCTGGCCACGTGGGGCTGCAGGGGGCTGCTGGGCTCCAGGAAGCTATCGACCTGGCCAAACAAGCCACCCGTCCTCTGCAACCGACAGGGAGGGCATCAGAGGAGGCCTGGAGCTCTGGGCTGCTCTGGGGCCATTCCTATGGGAGGGGACACACGGGGGTGCCCGTGGGAACAGTGGTATCTCTGCTCATCTCTGCTTGAGCCTTGCAGACTGCACAGTGCTAAAAGCCTCACTGCCCGGATGGGGAAACTGAGGCACTGAGGGGTGATGGTCATGCAGCAGCACTGGGGCGAGAGCCAGCTTGGTGCATGACAAACCCTGCCACCTCCGTGGGACAGCCTGAGCTGGTGGCACCTCTGGACGCAGCAGGAGGTGCAACCCTGCAACACCACAGCTGCCCAGGCTGTCTTAAAGAGCTCCAGGGAGTGGGAGGCAAATCTGTTCCTGCTCCGGTGATGATGACACCTGAATTGTCCTGCCTTAGCCTGGCAGAAGGTGTGGATGGGGCCTCCCAAACCTGTGGGTAAACATTCAGCACATCCCTGCCAAGCAGATGAGCAGGGTCCTTTTACAGAGGGGAAACTGAGGCAGAGAGCTGTTTGCCCAGGATGACTCAACCAGGATGTCCTGATGCCCAGGAAGAGGAAAGAAGTGCTGATCCATCCTTGTGGTCCACACTGTCCTTCAGGGTCAGGCTGACCTCTGTGGACAGTGCTCCAGCAGTGGTAGCCACGCTGGCCCACCACCAACACATCAAAATGGGGGCTGGGTGGGACCACCACCACCTGGGGTGCCGTGAGGGCTGCACTCACCCTGTATATCCCTTCCTCCATGGCAGCCTCCACCATTGCTCTTTCCAGCTCCTCCTCAGCAGTCAGGTCCCCAGAGATGGCCCGACGGATTTCAGGAGCAGCTTCTTCTTCAATGCTCCTCAGCCCAGCCTGGTGGGGATAAGAAGGCATGGCTGGATGTGGCCTGGCCCCACCACCCATCTCACATTGGGCTTTGGAGAGGGAAACATGATGAAGCCTGCTCACCTGGTAAGGCATGCTGCCCTGCCAGGTCTTCTACCAGGGACAGGCCACGGGTGGCCCTGCGGCTGGCTGGCTCCATGCTTGGTCAAACAAGCTTCTGGGCTAATGCTGTCCCACAAAGGGGTGTGCTAAGGGCAGCCTGACCAAGGGCAGGCTGGGGATACCCAAGGGGTAGCGGTGCCTTTGTCCCTGATCTGGAGACACCTGACCTGGAGCGTGGCTCTTTTTCTTGCCTTGCACCTTTGGGGCCTGGTGTTTTATCTCTACAAGTGATTTCCTCGCTGTAAGATCAGGAGAGGCTGGGGATACCCCAGCTGCTCTGGCCAGGCACATAAGTCCTCTCCCGTCCCACCCTGGCAGCACCCTTCAGGGCTGCTGTGCATGCTTCTCCATCTGCAGTGGTCCTGCTCAAGATCAGCCACATCAACCCCTTCCACCTGATGTTGCACCAGGCAACGAGAGACGATACAGAGAGCAGTGGGCACATGGCACTACCTGCAACGCTGCTGAGGTGAGGAAAGGGAGAAGGTCCTGGCAGCAGAGTAGGTGGATAAGGGGCCTGGATTAGCAGCATTCGGCCCAGACATTGGTCTGTGCTGGGAGTTTCCAGGTCTTAAAACTGCTTGGTGAGGCATCAGACCTTGCTGAGCCTTCTTTGCGGCCAAAGTCAGTGGGACAAAGTCAAAAATGTCCTTTGCTTCTGGAGTCACCTCACACCCTGGAGACTGAGGTCACCCTCAGCGGTGGAGTGCTCAGTCCTGGTTCACTTGGGGCCACCTCATTTCCAGAGCCTGAGGCACAGAGGTCATCGTCCTTGCAGCTCTGTCTCCCTAAGTCACCTTGGACTTCCCTGAGCTGGGGGAAGCCTCTTCCCTGATGTGCAGAGCCCCCCACGCACCCTGCCTGCCCCCAGGAGGGGTCACCCCTCCACCACCACCCGCACACTACCAACCTGGATCTCCACAGGATTCTTCTTTGGCCGATACCCATAATACTCCTCCTGGCGCTTCATGAACTTCCTGAAATGCTCTTGGATGAGGAAAGTAGCATAGAATTTGCCCACTGTCACCTCATCGTCTGGAGGGGAGGAAACCAACCTGGTGACACCCCCTATCACAAGGCCCCGAGTTGTCGGAGCCGCTGAGACCCCAACCAGGCGTTGCTCTGCCCCGCTGGGAAGTACCACCAGGTTGCGTACCTCCAATAGGGGGGATGACCTGGTCCAAAAGCTTCATACTTGTTCGCTTCCAGATTTTTTTGATAATGGCTCTGAGCTCCTCATTGGCCTGCTCAAAGTTACCTGCAAGAAAAGCGAGCAGGGCAGAGTGGTTCATTCCTAGGCGAACATTTACATGGGTGAAGACAAAGCATGTGACTGGCCAGACTCCTCCAGGGTGTGACAGCTCCTCTCCAGCCTCCCCACCCAGCAAACATGAGCTTTGTGAGAACCAGGCTTTGATTTTAGCAAAAAGAGTAACTATAGAGTGAGCCAGACCTAGCAATCAGGGGCAGCCTTAGTGCCACCGTCTCTGTTCTGGTGATCGACAACAGATTTCGACCTCCCCGTTGATGCTCTCACAGGCTTTACCATTCCTTCTCACTGGCAATCCCAGTGCGTGCTCCAAGATCTCCTGTACTCCCAGAGCTGCCCGCGCTGTGCTGGAGGCCACTTTCCCTTCCCCAGCTGGAGGGAAGGCACCCATGCTGCGCTGCTGGAAGATGCCCGCCCAAGTGGCCCACCAGTGCCCAGCCTTGGCTCCTGCCAGAGCTGGCTGCCCCAGCCCAGCCGCAGAGCTGCTCCTGTGATACTGCCCAACCCACAGGCAGGGAAACAAGCTGGTGTGGCATTGCAAGCCATGTGGCTTTGCAAACCATGCTCCTGGCAAGGGAGGGGGTGAAAGCAACTCCTCCCCGGCACAGCTAAACTCAAAGAGGATCCATCCCCTTCCATTCCAGTCCAAGATTATAAATACATGGGGAAATGCAAAGCGGGAGCTGGTGGTGCTATGCTGGGGGCAGGGGGAGATCAGAGCACGCTCAGCAGTGTGGGAAGGGAGGCCGGTGGCCGTGCATCACAGCAGGGATGGGAACTGGGTCAGAACTACTCCTGAGCTGCTCAGGGTGAAGTGACGCAGCTGGGGTGGCTTTCGGGGCAGCAACGCCTGTGCCTGCAGCGAGTAACATCCTCCAGGCTTGGCCTGAGCAGCCCATGGTCTTTGCTCCAAAGACAGAAATTAATGGCATGAAGCTGAGGGTTGCACCAGAGGGTCTAGCCCCACAGGCAAGTGCCTGGGGTCCCTGGACAGAGCTGGGGAATGGTGTGGAACCAGCCCCCTGCAGCACAAGGAGAGGGTCCCCCATCGGCCATCGAGGCATCACTTACCTTCTGTCTTGATCTTGAGGGCTGTCCTCACCAGTGCAAAGAGGGTTGCATTGAAGGTGACGGTGCCATCGCTGTTCAGGGGCATGTTCATGCACACGAGACGCTGCACAGCAAGCCAACGAGCGTGAGCCCAGGTGGCAGCGTAGGCTGGCAGCTCTCCGCTGCCCCACAGCCCGTCCTGGCCGGAGGGTAGGGGATCTGCTCGGGGCACCGAGCTGCCGGCCAAGCAGCCCTCCCAGCTCTGCCTGCTCTGCCCAGGCCCATGGGGCTCTGCACCACCGCTTGGCAGCGCATGGGCCAGGGCAGCGACACCACTCATCCTAACCAGCAGCTAAATCAGACCAAGCTGCGGGGAGGACCAGGTCAGATCTGTGGGAATAACCCAACCTATGGGGCACCAGTGCCATGGGAGAAAATTACAGAATCACAGAACCATTTAGGTTGGAAAAGACTTTTAAGATCATCAAGCCCAACCATTAACCTAGCACTGCCAAGTCCACCCCCAGACCCTGGCCCTCAGCACCGCCTCTGCCTGGCTGTTAAATCCCCCCAGGGCTGGGGACTCGACCCCTTCCCTGGGCAGCCCCTTCCAGCCCCTGACAGCCCCAAGGGGAAGGAATTGTTCCCAATGTCCGACCCAACCCTGCCCTGGCACAACTTGAGGCTGTTTTCTCTGATCCTATCACTTGCTACTTGGGAGAAGAGACCGACGCCACCCCGCTATACCCTCCTGTCAGGCAGCTGTAGGGAGAGATAAGGTCTCCCCTGAGACCCCTTTTCTCAGGAGTCAGCATTGCTCTCAGGGAGATGGGAGTCATTTTGCTTTGCGTGCCACCCTCCAGAAAGTGCCCCAGGATGCCGTGAGGGATCTGGGGATCAAACCTCGTAATGACCCACGTGCCCAAGACCCACAAAGTTTTTTACACCAGTGCCTGAGCCCCTGCCCATGTGGTTTACACATGAGCCTCACAGGCCCTGGATTTGTGCAGGATGAGCTAAGCCAGGAAAAGCATTCTCATGCCTACAGAGCCGGCGTTTCCAGCTCCCTCGGTGCTATCAGACCTTGGAAACAAACCCCTACAGCCCAGCTGACGTGGCCAGGTACCAGCATGGCCCAGCATTGCCCTCCTGCACCAGATGCAGATGTGGGGCATCCCGGTGTAGCCTGGGCATCCCTCTGCACTGAGGGCTCCCAGCTGGGCAGGGACCAGCCCACCAGTGCCACCCCCTCGGTCTGGGGGCGAGCTCAGGCAAGTCCTTATCTTCAGGACCCTGAAACACATCAGCTCCGTGCAGGTTAACAGCATCTCTCCTTGTCCCCAGAGCAGTCCCCTCCACTAAACACCAGAGGTCAGAGCATGCATATAAAACGTGACACTGGGAAGCTGGCTGGATTGTCACCCTCAGCCCCCTGGGGAGGCTGCAGAGACAGCCTGGGGAAGGTGCCCCTGTGCCCACATGCCCTGCTACCCCCTTGGCTTTTACCTTACAAGCTACACGGTGTGGGCAGAACTTCCCGAATCCCAGGGGAGGCTGGATACGTCTCAGCAGGGTCACTACATCCAAGTGTTTGATCCTGCCCCTGTAGAGGCAATAAACTGTATCAGCAGGGTGGAGGCAGACATGGGGGACAGCGGTTTGGGCAGGGGCTGGGTGGGCTCATCCCTGTGGCCTGCCCCGTGCTCCTGCGGTGGTCAAACCCCTACACTTCCCTGTGCTCCTCCTGGGGAGAGCAGCTGCTCCCCGTTGGCACTGGGCAGCAGATAAAGGGCGCAGTGGCACGGGAAGAGTTGGCAGCATCACCAGGGCTGGATTAAGAGGGGACTGCAAGTCTCGTGTCCCCAAACATCCTGATGGCTTGTATGAGCCCTGGAATATGCTGGCAAGTCCACATCCACTTCTGAGATGCTGGGATTGAACCCTTAGACTGTGCCACAGCTCACAGTGCCATGTGTGTCTCAGGGCAGCCCGCCCCAGGCTCCCCATGGGCCATCCCCTCTGTGCCGCTCACCCCCCATCACTCACTTGGCCTCGGGGTCGTACTCAGCCCAGATCCGTTTGAACTCGTCCAGGTGATGGGGCCCAAGGATGGACCAGTCGCGTGTGAGGTAGTCAAAGTTGTCCATGATGACAGCCACAAAGAGGTTAATGATCTGAGGGCAGAGGATTGGGTGTGAAGGACACGAGTTAGGGCAGGGCTGAGCACGCATCAGGTCCCTGGCAGAGGTACAGGGACAGCCCTCGCAGCTGGCAGCGCGGAGCAGGGCAGTGCTGCCCACGGGCCCCGGCCAAGGCCACAGGAAAACACAGGCACACGTGTTCCGGAGGAGAAGGGGCTTGGGTTGCCCTGGAGCCAGGGGATGCTGTGGGTCACCCCACACAGGGATGGGCCTCCCACCCACGGGGAGCATGTGAAAGGCTGCAGCAGGCACAGGGCATCTCTTCCCTCTCCACCCTTGCAAGAGCCAACACAGACACATCTGGAGCACAGCACGTGGGGGCTGCGGGAAGGAAATAACAGGGGATCCTTGGCTCCACAGGAGCGCGGTGCCAGGTTTACAGCATGGTTGGGTAGATGGGCTGGGGGATGATGCCTCTAGGAAGAGGGTGCTGTGGGCTCAGCCCCAGGAGATGCAAGGCTAACTCAACACCGGGGGCTGCCCAGGGCCGGGATGGGGGTGCTGAAGGGGTCCCTGG